CAAAACACATTACAAAACCATCAGAAACCAAAAGAAACGCTCAATGGTTTCTATGGGTTTTTTCAGCAGGGATACATTCAAAAACTAAAGTTAGTTTTAGGCTAAAGCTTCATATTATGCTCAGTTTAAACCTGCTCAAGGTAAAGTTGTATTCCTGTACCTGTAATGTAAGTGTACACATAATGCCCCCGTATTAAGGGTAAGTTCATTGAGCTATATGTCTACATAGCCCATTAGTTTACCAAGGACACACAAGCTGTAGTTTGTATAATATTTACCCTGTGAATCCCTATATATGTGTTCATATCAAGGTTTGTTTTAGCCTAAAGCTTAAAATATATTAGCCCAATGCAAATGAATCACAAATTAATCAGACACCTACATAAAACGACTGAAATGTTGATTAGCCTAAAACTCACTAAGAAAAACCAAAACAAGTGTGACTTACTTTGATCCGCTTTAAGCTTCAGCTCAGCTATAGCTGCATTTCTTGCATCTCTGGCAGGAAACTTTTCTGCAAAAGTGAAACAGTTTCCTGTAAAATGTCTCTTAACGTTTAACTTTTTACGAGGCTGAAGTCAGCTTCTTATTCTCCAGCTTCTCATTAAAATGTTCCCGTTCCACCTTAAATGGTGCCTGCCGCGCCAGAATGTAACTGCTGCACCATTTAAGGTGGGATGGGAAAATTCTAACAAGAAGCTGGCGAAGGAGAAACTGACTCACAACTTTTTAGTGTTTGACAGTTCCTTGTTGCAGATTAAACGTATCAGGAAACCAGCTGGAGTGATTATAAACGCAAGTCCATTCGTCTGCGTTGCTATAGTGACCAGCAGTCTGCGTGCCAATCTTCAGGGTTAATGGGTGAATTAGCAGTTCTACATTAACTCCAGCGTTTAAAACCATTTATTGTTAAAACTGTGTTGAACGATCAGCAGAGCTTTATTTTACTGCAAAGGAGGATTATTTTATTTTTACCTAAAAATCTAATTCTGCTGTGGAGCCACAACAGGGCAGTAAAAATGCTGCACGCAGATTGCCGACCCCTTCACAAACTCTTATCACAAACTCTTATTTCAGTTTTCCAGGAAATTCAGAGATAAAAGATTTGGTTAGATGAAGATATGAAAGTAAATGCCGTAAAATCGTCATAAGTTCAACTACAAATCCACAACAACAGAACTCCAGTCAAAAGAACACAAAGCTGCTGGTAAGGGTGAGTGGGAGTGAGAAGAATTCTCGGAGCGTCAGTCAGGGCAGAGGGACTCCTGGGGTGGTTTGGCTCCTCAGCGAGCAAACAGGTTGGGGGAGGTACTAAATTACCAACTCAACCATCACTGTCACGCTATCACTGTCAGAGAGGAAGCAACGACATGAGACAACGAGTAGGTGGATGAAAGATCGGGGGGAAAGACAACAGTCAACAGGCTAAAACAGATAAGTGTCTCCAGCAGGGGAAAAGTTGCTGGAAGACAAACAGAAACCGGCTCCTCCACACATAAAAACTCAAAAAAAGGGTCACATGACAGCTCTCATGTGTGGTGCTGTTTGTGTGAAACCTACACCTCCGATAATTACAGGGCCTCCACTCTCACAACACTTGATCACACGCCCTCCCTCTCTCTCTCTCTCCTACACTCAGAGTACATGTCTGCGTTTTGTTTGTGCTGCTGTCCTCCTCCTCTCTCTGCCAGTGACCTACTGTGTACACAGAGACGTTATACAGAGACATCCTCATACTTGCCTCCAGCAGAATCCAGTTAAAACTGCTTTGTGATGCCATTTCAGATATTTGCATGGTTTAATTAAAGGAGTAGTTCAGAACAAAATTAACTGTTCCTCTTTTGCTCAAATTAACATATCCACTACAGAGACCGTACTTAGTACTACAGAGAGTACTTTTCCAAAAAAAATCTCTATTTGAGTTTAACATATTGGAAAAAATGAAACACACAACACAAAATATGCTGTTGTTTCTTGTTTTTCCCCCAATCTGTTCAATTAAGCAAATAAACAATAATTGTGCATTAAAATGTGCAGAAGTGTGAACACTGTGTTCACAAATTAACAAGGACATTTAATTTGTCCCACCAGAAATTTACCCTAGCCCCTCCCCCTCACCAAATAAGAGAACAAACATATTACGTATAACTTACACATAACTTATTAAATTATTATTTAATAATAATTATTATTTTCCTTTTATAATGGATTTAAAAGTATTTTTGTAACAGAATGCAGTGCAATGCTATGAAAACACATTCCTAAAAACTCTGCTCTGAAACCAATCTTCTTTATTTGTATTTTGTTTTATCTTTTTGGCGACTGGCGCTCTAACTAGAAAATAAACAGTACTTTCAGATGTTTTAATAAATATTTAAAGTACTTTGGCAACAACAATAACTAACAACATACAGATTTTTGGTGAAGTTATCTGCCTCGAGACATTGTGGTTAATTATTTTATTAAAACTTCAATCGTTTTAGAATCATCCACAGATTTCAGCATTCCTTTATTTGTCTTAAAGCTTCCTACTAATTATATATAACTCTAAACCTGAAGCTGCACAGGAATACTGTATTAAATTCAGGTTGTACAGTTGCATGCCAAAGTTTGAACACCTTTGGGAAAATTGTATATTTTACTGATGTTCTAAATGAGAATAAGTTAACATCCTCTATGGGAAACAATCTTAAATATGGCATTTTTCTGCTAATTATGAGCACAATTTCTATTTATGAGTTTAACATAAAAATAAAACGAATTATAAAATGTGCCATACAGTTTGCACAGGCCACACTTTGTGTTTTATTTCTTTTTCAAATATGTTATATTTAGCAAATAAAGAGCAATTGTGCATTAAAATGTGCAGAAGTGTGTTCTCTGTAGAGGATGTGTTAACTCAGTTTCACTTGGAAAATCAACAAAACATGAAATTTAATCTAGGGTGTCAAAACTTTTGCCACACTTTAACTGCTTGTTACTACATGAAGTAAATGTTTAGATTGTACTGACAAACTCTTTTCTGTAGTGTATGACTGAACATTTATCTGCCACAATACTGTTTTATAGTATTAAAACACTGATTACAAACTTTTCACCATTAATTCCAAACTTTTCAAAGGTGAACAGAGATTAAAAATGGACAAAATTCATGTTTCAATATGGCTTCTAGAAATGTTTTCACTATGCAACAAGTTTTTGTCCATGTTTATAGATAACAGTGTCTTATACAGTGTCAGAAATCGCATAAGCAATCAAATAAATCAAATAAGCAAGTTATTAGAGATTACTTAACAACTCAGTTTGGATCATGTAATAATTTAGGCTTGCGATTAGCATGATGCTAACTTGGTGGGGTATAAGCCCCTGATAAATTTTAGCCTGCAGTCTGACTTGACATAATACATCAGCATGAATTAACGATTAGAGTCCTTTGAGTGACTCGCTCATCTTTTATTATCCTAAATGGTTACAAAATTAGCATAAAAACATAGACGCTCATACAACAATTCCAAAAATAACAGACGCTAGAAATAGGAAGTCCATCAAAGGATCCTTCGTTAAGTAGCAAAGAGTTAAACATATTTAGTGCATGTAATTGTGTAGTGTTTATCATCAGTGCGAGTAAACGTCATATTCATGATAGATAAGCACTAAAGAGTAACGTATTACGAGAGACTGTAACTGATAATCTGTGTTTAAAGGGGTCCACAGATAAAGATTATCTCTCACAGGTTAAACATGCATTTCACAACATCATAAACTGCTTCTCTCACTGCGGCCATTATCACCCTGGACAGAAAGGCTTGGGATTCATTGACTTGCCTGGTTGTTGTTATTACTCTGAAGACCTGAAAGCGCTGTTGGATCTGACAAGAAAGGTGAATGAAAATGTGTCCTCTATGCAGATAAGAACACAGCTGAGAACAACAGAACACAGTTGTTCCAAACCCCAGTCTTAGAGTTCACTGCAAAAAACTGCATTTTGGCAAGTGAAACCATGTTAAATGTAGACAATATACATAATATTAATCTTATTTGGTGAAATTAAATTAGCATACTGGCAGATAATGTTACTTTACTGGCAAATAAGCATTATTTATTTACAAGCAAAATTATCTGCCAGTATACGCTAACATAATGTCACCTATAAAATGCCTTTGTATGTTATTATTTGTGGAAGAGGAGTTCCACACTTTTTCAACATAATTATGTTCTGCATAATTATGTGGTTGAGAGAAACTTGCCAGCTCATATTTCTTTACAGTGGTGGTGATAAGAACCAGGGATGTTAACAGAGCAAACTTAGTCATTTTATTTACTATCCAAAACCACCAGTGAACCTACATAAATCTTCTGAGTTTTATGTAATGTTAATAATGATAAAAATATTGATAAATCTGAAAAAATATATTTTCTTTGGGAACTATTTCACCTCACAACACCCTGCATGTACTTCTACGCCATACATGGAAACAATATATACATATGTATGTTTTGAGTCAAAACTTTTTCTCAAGGATTAGACAATGTATTTAAATTTATTGTATTTACTGTAATAACACTTCGCAGGGGATGTCTGGTTCCTATCAGCACCACTGTAAACAATTCTGACTTGGCAAGTTTCTCTAGTATGGTGCATTCATCAAACCACTGTGAATGACTTTGTTTACATCTAAAAGATTTAATTATGTAGAAATTTGAAATAAATATGGAAATATTAGATAAATTGCCTATATTTAAGATGCTTTCACTTGCCTGATTCCCTTCTAATCCAACTATGCAGCTACAAGCCTTTCCTGAATTGAATCAGGACTGGGAATCACTAAGATAACCCAGTTCACTAAGATAATACTGTGAGCAGTGGTCAGAACTTAATGTAGTGGTCAGCACTTGAGTGGTGTAAGTAAGGATTGGTAGGTGTAGGTGTAGCTGGCCTTGTTCAGGCTGGAGTTGCTCTGTGAGGACTGAAGCTGTGGGTTAGGCCTCCTCCACCTCTGTCAGATCAGCTGGGACTCCCGCACCTCACTGCCTGAATAGGGACTGAGGACACTCCTCTCAGCCAAAGGTGGGCGGCCTGGAGACAGGTTCCTTAAGGAAAACAGAGAAAGTGAAAGTAAATAAGAAAACTCTGTTTGGTCAGCAGCTGAAGGAAATCAGCTGATTTTCATTCAAAATGACTCTTTGACCAGTCTATAAATTGACCAGTCTCAAAAGTAGCAAAATACACAAGCTTAATTTCTGACATCTACCCTCTATATGTATATTACCGGTATATCTATATGCTGTATCTCCTGTGACAAGTGATGAGGCAGATTTTCAATAATTTGCAATATCAGGGTCATGAAGGACTTTGGTCAGCTTGAACAGCCTGACCTGCCCACCTCCTGATTCAGCACACCAAGGGATATCTCAGCTGACTGATCTGAAAATAAAACCCTGATGGCACAATGTACACTTAGGCTGTATTTCTGCATTTTTGACACTTGCACTTCCATTTGCCTGAGGCTATTTGTGAAAAACAGTGCAAAATAAAGAAAGAGAAGCCAAACTTATAAGTTTATGCTTTTAAAATATCCAACAAAAAAGACCCTCAAAACAAGCCCCTGCATTAAAACTGCATGTTTTATTGATCATCTATGTGGAAAAAAGTTAACACGTCCACTACGGGGAGCATATGGCATTTTTTCTGCAAATTTAAGCGCACAGTTTCTATTTATTATGGAGTTAAACGTAAATTATAAAAGTGACAGGTCACACTTTATGTTTTACTTTTTTCCAATATGTTAAATTGAGGAAACAAACAGTAATTATGCATTAAAACGTGCAGAAGTGTGTTCTTTGTAGACGATGTGTTGACTTATTTTTGCTTAAGAAACAAAAAAAACGTCATTTGACTGGGCGCCCAAACTTTTGCATATGACTATGCTACAAGCAGGAATTCACATGTATAACATGTAATTTTCTTTATGTTCTCCAATAAAAAACAGCAAGCACACACTATTGTTGGCCAGCATGACGTGTTTGAAACAATAACAAGGACTAAAAGCAAGAGTTGCTCTCAGAGGCTTCAGTTACCTCAGGCAACAAGAAAGCTCTCCTTTCCTCTCTCACTTCCTCACCCCTCCTCTAACCCCCCCAAACAAACACACAATCCCTCCCACCCCTTTTCAGAATAATCACAGACTCCCGGAATAGGAAATGGGCCCAGAGCTCTAAATATTATGTCCAGAGCACTGCAGGGCATGTGGTTATTCAAGCAGACAAAGGACCAAGAGAAACATACTCATGCATGTAAGAAATACCTTTCAGTGGTCAGTTCACAGCAAACAGCAGTATAATGTGTCAACTTCACTGACATTACAGCTTTGTGTAAAGCTGAGGCCATTTGTTCATGTAAAGTGTATACTGGTCCAAGATGTTCTGGGGTCATCTAAGGAGAACTGGTGGGGACAGGACAGGTTCAGTAGCTCAAAGATCAATGTCTTTTTAAACTGAATTTACCATCTATATATGGTTAAATTAAAGGATTTTTTTTGGAGAAAAATCAATTTCCACAATTTCCACTTACACCAGATGTAGTCCAAGACAAGTTTGGTGTCCAAATTTTGCTCTTTTAGCACTGGAGTTACAAAAGCTACAGAAGTACACCAGAACACCAGAAGTCAATAGTCACCCAAACCTGTTCTGTAAATACATCCCTTCTCCTTTAGTCTAAAACTGCATTTAGCCAGACTGTGAGGTTTTTTAGTTTCTTACAGCTCACAGAAAGTCATACTGTGTCCTAAACCACATCTGCATGCCTGTGTAACCTTACTTAAGACTTGGATGTGCTTTCAGTGGCTTGAGAGAGGTTTTGGGGATGTATTTAAAGAAAAGGTTTGGGTGACTACTGACTTCTTGTGTTTGTTAGCAAAGTGAGTCTCATGGCTCAAGCGCTAAGCTAAAGAGGCAAATTTCAACTAATACAAACTGATCAGCTACCTCTGGGGTGAGTGAAAAATTATGTCCGTTTGATTTTTTGCCGGTTCATTTAAGAGCTTTTAAGGAAATACTATTTTTTATGATGGTCTGAAGGAATAGCAAAAAATCTAATTTACACAATCTTCCACTTTCTCCAAATGTAGTCAATCAGCCAAGACATGATTGGTTTCTGAAGTTTGCTGCTTTAGTTTTTCGCTGGAGCAATAAAGACAAAATTCAGGCTTTAAGATGGCTGCTACAACTGTTTTTAGCTGTGCAACATATTTTTGTCCATTTTTATAGATTACAATATGTTATAGGTACTATTCACGCTGGGTACTAACATCTGATCTGATCACAAGTGATCACCAGTAAGATGTATACAGGACATAGAATATTTCTGTGTTTGAAATGTGTTCTGGGGTTAGAAGAAAGAATGGAAAAAAATAAAAAAATATGAAATAACTAAATATGAACATGTATATTAACAAGACAAACAAATAAGCAATAACAAATAACAGGACAACAATAATTTGTGCAAAACGAACAATGTAATGGTAATTGTATTCAAGTCCAAGCACAGCGTTTGGATGGACAGACAGAACTTTATTGATCCCGAAGGGAAACTGCAGTGTTTCAGTAGCAAGACATATAATTGCACATAAACTTACATATACTATGCAGAAAATAAAAAAATAGAAATAAAAACAGACATAAGTTAAGCAGAAATAAAAAAATAGACAAGAAATAGACAAGTTAAAGTATAAGAGTGTAGAAATAAAAGTATCTCTATTTGCATATTTACACGGCATATAAGACAGATTTGTTGTATTTACATGAGAGCAGGCACTAAGTGGCACAAAGTTCTCTAAAAGCACATATTTATGTTAAATACATGTTTTCTGCTGTTTTTCCTCTGAAGCTGAAAAATACGTAACTTAATGGCAGTTAAATAAATGAAGAGTGGACTCTGACATCTTCACACCACTGTACACTAAAGTAAAACTAAAGAAGCAGACTTCAGACACCAAACACGTCTTGGCTGACTGACTACATTTGATGAATAAAATCAACACTGTGCTTGAGGTAATGGCAACCCAAGATGTTAAGGACTACAAGAGAAAGAACATGATAAACTCAGATGGCCCATTTTCTACCATTCAAAAACAGCACTCACTAACAAGCAAAATGACAGTGGATAAAGCATGAACAGAAGATCGATGTTATTCTGACTGCACAATAATTATTTACATCTGTAAACATTATTTGTTTACATTATTTAAAACAAATGTTCCTCAAAAGGCTTTTAGGGTTGGTCAGGCTAAAGAGCATCAAAATTCCACGTGTGGATCTGCGTACAGGGGGGATTTACTTCCACACGGCTGCATGCAGACAGTGGCGGCTAAATACTGCCTGCAGTTCTGTACTGACTAACGCTCTCAGAATAAACGTCGACAGAATGTGCCTTTAGCAAGCATAGGGGCTCCCTCAGAGACACGGCTTTCTCCAGACTGCCATAAACGCAGGCTCTGTATGTGTGTCTAACAGCTGCTCCCCGCTGCACTCTCACTCAGGGCTGCTGTAATTGTGTGCAGGGAGATTAGCCTGAAGAGTTTAGGCATGGCGGATTTGGGCCGTATGTCTGCGCTGTGGGGAGCTCCGCTGCAGCCTGCTGGACAATTGATGTCCAGTAAAGCTGGAGCCGGGAGAAGAAAGCAGCTCCGGACAGGCCGAGGGAGCCGGAGGCTCGGCATACAGGCCCGGACTGAGGGCTAATCCTGACTGACAGAAGCCTGGCCTAGCACTCTGAGGGTGCAAATAAACATGAGGGGGATTATTGAGCAGAGTTGATAGAAATGAGATCAGAGGAAGGTTAATGTTGTTTGACAGAAGGCAAATCTGCCACTGTGGCCAGCATGAAGTAGGGAAAATAGAAATGACATTATATTCCACCTCCTAGCCAAATTCACTTCACTCACTTTTCTCACACATTGCCCCCCTTTCACACGCTCTCCAGCTCGTCTGGCGCTGTCTAGTACCTTTCTCTCGCACCATCTGTCGGCAGTCTGGTTAAAGACTACTGTAACATGCTGTTCTTGGATGAACCTACACTTCGAGCCATTAAAACAGGCCATGTCAGTTCAATGGCAGATAGAAAACTAAGGACACAGAGTTTTAGCCCATGTCTCTCTTAAGAGCGGAAGAAGCGACACCAAACTTAAAGCATAAATAAATAAATAAATAACAGAATGACAATAACTTTGTGTAAAAAAAAAAACAGTCTTCATTTACAAGACTATGTAAGATATGTTCATTATAACACATTAACAACGCTTATTTACAGGCTTAATTTGTGTCTTCTTTGAGCACCACTGACATATTTTTCCCACGTGAAACTATATACTGTCACGTAAATATATATAAAACGCAAGGACTGAGCTGTCGCCTGCCTCTGTTTTAAGGTGCCATCTTTATTAGTACTGTAAAAAAAAAAAAATTAAGTTTAGATCGGTTTCTGAGCCTTTTTGCTCTCTGGTAGGTCACACCACAGCCTACCATTTGTTTTTTATACACTCTGACAGGAGAATGACAGTGTTTTATGACTGACAGAAGAAACCATAATCGCTGGAAAAAACGCTTTGAAAATAAAGGTACTTAGCTTTAATGCCTGCAAAGCATTTCTCTGTAAATATTCACATTAAGGTATCTGAGCTATGACTTTTGCCTCCTCCTCCTTGCGAGGCTTCGTGTTAAAATATCTTTTGTGGGGATGAGTTTGAATTTTGTCATTTAGTCATCAAAGTTAAAAAAAAAAACTTGAACAGCAAATTAGAACTGTTGATAGGTTAGTTAGCTTCTCTCTACCATTATACATTCCCTAAGAACCATGAGATGTCTAAACTCTACATTCAACCTGTGGGCAGTATAGAGATGGCATGTTTTGGTCAGAGGTTCTAATCTTTTTAGGCCAAGAAAGCAAACCCAGAAAGACCAGTGTAGCTGTCTAAGCGCCACACACTGGACAAAATGCCATGCACTGCAGACACAAAGCGCAGCTATAGCAAATAGGAAGTGTTGCAGAAAAGCACTCATAGACATCAAGCTTAAGCTCATTTTACACCGTACCC